TCCCTATTCAACAGAAATTGTAAATAATAAATATCAGTAACTTTCAGCTCAACAAATACCTAAAGATTTACAAACCACTGATACTATAAATATGCAGATAGATGTTATGTCCTATGCTTGCAAGACAGCACTCCAAATACATTCAGCACCACAGAAATGCACATGCCTTTGGGCAAGAAGGCTACTCATCAGTGAAGAGAAGGAAAATTTTGGTTAAGGATAAAAATCTTACAAAAAATGCCAGAGTAGGATTGGAGTATTTTTGTAGCTGTGATGATGGTTCAGGAAATGTATGCAAGGCAAGGGTCCTCTTGTGGTATCTTTTATTGGACCAACTGTATAGTTGGGAGAAATCTCAGACAAGCTCTCAGGCAAAAAGTAACCCTCCTCCAGGTCTGAGGGTTTCTGATGGAGCCAGCCTTAGGGAAAATGGTGACCTGGCTGAACTTGTATTTTGGTGCCCCATGCCTCTGCCTCCCTGCCCTCCAAGCAAGTCAGAAGCACTGCTGCAGACAGAGGTGCAGTCTGGTGGAAAGGTGGGGTGGCATGGTATGCCAGGCAGGCAGGAATTGCTGCTGCCACACACATTGCCTGGCTTGGCTCCTCCTAGGCAGCAGCTGGAGGTGGGGTGTGGGCTGGGCTAGGCACCACTCCTGCCTGCGGTGGGGATCAGCTGGAGAAGGGCAGGGGAGGGCAGGGCAGGGGGAGAGCGCTGCTGTGAGCATGGGCTACTCACATATGTGCGTGCACGCACGGTGCCCCCTGACCACAGCACTCTGGGTGATCGCCCACCCCTAAGGTCGGCTCTGCATTCTGCTTTACATCCTTGTATAGGCCTGACCTGAAGAAGGGTACTTCACAGTTGGAAGAGACCTTGGACCATAAAATGCTCTTCGTCAGGTCAGACCTATATGAGGATGTAAAGCAGAGGGACCCGCAGATCTGGAAAAGGGCACTTTGTGCCTGAGAGATTGTCCAAGATCTCTCCTAGCTACATAGTCAGTCTAATAAAAGATACCACAAACAATGCCACAACATCCCTACCATTGGAATGGAGGGCCTCTCTCCTTATAATATAGATCAAGGCTGTCCAACTTCTAAGCAGCTAGTGGCTATCCACCTGGCTCAATGGGCTGTGCTGTACCACTCTGCCTCACAGGGCAGGGGCAGGAAGCAGAACCTGGAGGCAGGGGGAGCCCAGGGGCTGCAAATTAACCCTTTGTGGTCTGTGTGCAGCCTATAGGCCACCAGTTGGACAGCCTTGGCATTGACTATGCAGTTATAAAAACTAATTACATGCTGACAAACTCTAATAAACGAAAACAACTCTCCATTTTATCACATAACCTTTGCATCCACAAAGCAGAATAATTCAAATTTTCAGAACCAGACAGTGCTGAACTTTAGATAAATACAGACCTGATACTTGCATTTCAGATGCAGTTTGGTGAAAAAAAAGAACAGTTCACAGGTCAACCCGAGTCTTTAGGATTTGGTTAATCTGGTCTCTTCCTATGCACAGTAGACTAGGGGGACCTACCAATATTCTAATTACTCAGAATGCCAAACTTAAAACCTAACTCAAGGCTAGCTGAAATGTAGAAGCAGCAAGAGCCAGAAAACAGACCCGACATGGACAGCAGCATTTAGTCCCTCAGTCTATCATTCACTTGACTCAGAGTAGAAAAATGATATCTATAAGTGAAATCTGCAAGTAGACATAAGGGTCCATGGCAGATGTTCCACACACATTAACTCAACGAAGGTTGGGAACTCACCCGAACAGCAGTGTCCACGCCTGCTGAGGCCAACCGATTGATTTTCCCATCAGCCCCATGTTGAAAGTCCAAGCTGTACACCGGCTCTTTGTTATGCCATGCAATCTCACAAGTGATGACCTTCATGTTGGCTAAATAAAACACGGCAAGCCTGGGAGATTTTGCAGCTTCTGATGATACAGGTGGTTCAAGCAACGCAGTGTCCTGCAAGTACCAGAGGCTTTGGGAGAAGAATGTTTGGCAAAGCGCAACAGAGAGCTATGTACAGAAAACTGTTTGATATAACTACAGTTTAATTAGAATTAACTGATAAATTGTATCATATTGGCTTGAATCTAAGACAGGGTTATTTTTCTCCATTCAGCAGAGAGGAAGACACAAACCAATTGCTTGAAATTGCAATGAAGCAGATTTAGACTGGATATCTGGAAAAAACTTCTTCACTGTTTTAACAGTGAGGCAGTGGAATAGACTGCATAGGGAAGCTGTGGCCTCTCCATCACTGGAGGTGTCCAAGAAGAGGTAGGACAGCCACTGGCCAGAGATGATACAGGTGTAGCTATGCCTATGTTCTACCTTGGGTATTTCCCATGCTTCTGGGCTTTGCTGGTTGCGCCCCCTTTTCCTCCTCCCCCCACCTTTTCTGCTACATATGTCAGGGTGTTTCTAAGAGGCACTGGCCACAGACAAGGCTGGGGATTGTGACTGGGGTGTGCCAATGCTCCTGCTGTGATCAAAGCCAGAGGTTCCTGGCTAGGGGGTCTTGCCTCTCTGCTCAAGGTCAGATCACTTGCCAGATGTGGGGTCAGGAAAGAATTTTACCCCATGATCAGATTAGTCTGGACTGGGGGAGGGGGGGGGGGAAAATGTTGCCTTCCTCTGTAGCAGGAGGCATGGACTCTACCTGAGATCTCTTGATCATATATTGACAACATTTCACAGAAGCAGGACATTGACTGCTGTGGTTCCCCTGCTTTACCTGTGACATATTAGGGTATAAGATCTGTGTTGTGATAGGGATGACATCAGTTTTATGTAGAGTTTAGATTACAAATTGCATAGGATGGTCTGGCTAGGCTTGATCCTGCCTCAGGTTGGGGACTGCACTAGATGACCTCTGGAGCGCCCTTCCAGCCCGACTTCCCTACTATCAAACTTAAACTTAGGAATAGTACGTGCGTGTGGGGGGAAGGGAGTCCGTGGCAGGGCAGCAGTGGCAACTCCAACCACAGCCCCGTGCTGCCACTGGAGTTTCCCCCAAAACCCCAGAGCCAGCCCCGCCCACCCCACCCCATCCCATTCCCAGCCGCACGCCCTACCCATGCTGGTCTCCATGGAGGCCCCAGGATTGCAGGGCAGTGACAGCACAGGGCTGGGGACCAGGGCAGAGCTATGATCTGCTCCCCACACACTCTTGCCCATGGAACCGGGGCCTGCTGCAGGGGGAGCAGGTCGTGGCTCTGTCCCGGCGCTGCCCCACGCTGCAATCCCAGCCCTGCCCCACCTGCCCATGCCACTCCCAGCAGCCTCATTTCATCCGCCTGGCTGCTTGCCTTGCCCACAGCAGTCCCACCCGCAGCACTGGGTGCAGGGCAGATGAACAGGGTGACTGGGCAGTGGGGCTGGCAGCTGCAGCAGCTAAAAGGAGCTGGGCTATCAGGAAACAGTCTGGCTGCCCCACTGCTCCAGCCCCACTGCACACCCAGGGGCAGCCAGTTGGGCCACACGTGCCACAGCCTGGGCTGCCCCCTACACCTGAGCAGGGCAGCACCGAGGGACCTGTCACAGGCTGAACAAAATCCCTTGTTTTGGCGGGCGAGCAGGAAGCTGCTGACTTGGCTGTGCAGCACAGTCATAATTAGGGACCAGCCCCCTCCCTCCTGCCCTGGGCTTGCCCAAACCAGTAATCGTTTAACTGTTGTAACTACAAGCTAAATGCAGATATTTTTTTAATCATAGTTTACATCCTGTCCCTACACTGGAGCTACAGCTGCTGCCCCCCCACCTGCGCTCCCGCTGCCTCCGGCCCAGGTCCCGCTCTGGCCCCAACCTGGCTACGCAGCAGTGGTGGCTCCAGGGCTGGGGCTGAAGCTGCCTCCACAAGTGCTGCTGGCAGGTCTTAAACACGACACGATTGTATTGGAAGCTTGAAATGATGGTATTTGCTAAAAAACGATTGTACGCTGACCAAATATATAAATAAGTCTCCTTCTTGCTTTTACACTGCTCGCTGCAAACTGGCAGCGAGCGAGAACTGGGGCAAAGTTGAAGCATGTCTTTCTTTTGATCTAAAGGTAGTGCTGGGAGCGAACCCACAGCTCAGTTACGGCTCCTGGAGAGCGACTCCACCAGCTGCCTCACAAAATGATGGCACATTTTGAACGCTGTTACCGTTATTGATGTCCCATTCTACAAGAGGTTGGAATTTGGGTGCAAATACGATAATTAGGGTTGACATCTGGTACCAAGATAATGATTTCACATTCAGCAACAGT